GCCCCCATTGCCCTACCCTCTTCACCCCTCTGTGTGGATCTCCTGACCCCCCCACTCTCATGGCCTCTGGGAGTCTTTGTGCTCCCGTCCAAAATCAGCTCATTCCCCCCCCCCTGCACACCGCAGTCCCATCCAATGGGCTGTCACTCACCCTGCCAGGGGCCCCGACGGGTAGCAGGTGAATCCCACAGTCAGTACAAGCGTCCCGGGGGCTCGGGGCGAGGCGGCCACCTTCCTCAGCCTCTGCGGAGTTTCCGCCCAGCTGGCAGTAATCCTGTGTTTCTCAGGATGCCCAGCAGGCGGCGCCACCTCCCATGCGGCTCCTGAGGGCGACATGCTGCCGCTCACCTGTTGCTGCCTGGTCGCCATCTGCAGATGTTCCTCCTTTTCCTCCTGGTCGCTGCCCAGTAACGGACTCTGCTTCAGTTAGCAGAAGGACATCAGACAACCAGAGAAGAAAAGGGAAAGGGTGCATTATAGAAAGTGTTTTTTTCCTCTCTCTGAAAAGGGTAGTATCGCCCCTTGTCTCCCCCCGACAGAAGGGGTGTGGGGGGGGGGGGATTGAATGGAGCATTTTGTGGTTACCATGGCAGCAGTAGGGCCCGTTCTTCCAAGGCTTGGCTCAGACTTTCAGTTGCCAAGGCAACATCAACAGCCCAGGCTTGGGGGCTTAGTTGGGGTGGAGGGGGTGTGTGTGACATCATTCCCTCCCTCTACCCCAACCCCCCTTGTCCAGCCTCCCTCTGCCTGCCCATTGGCCAGCGCGGCGCACTCAGTGCTGATTGACAACGGGAGGGGACTGCCCCTCCCATTCCCCCCAGCTCCGTTCGATTAACTCGGCGACGGGCGAAGAGCTTGTTAAATGCCAGCGGTAATTAAGAAACACAAGCTGAGGAGCGTGTGTGTCTGTGTGTGTGTGTGCTCGCGCGTGTGGCTTTCACAAATTATACGCGGGCGGCACGTGTCGGTTTGTGGGCTTTAGCTGGGTAATTAGCCTCTGACGGCGCCATGAATGCCCGGCTCATCTCCGCGCGGAGGGGCCGGGGGGGGGCTCAGACGACCAGTTGCTGACCGTCCCACGCCGAGGGGGTCAGAGCGTGACTTTGGGGCAGGCTGGCTGCTTGCCGATCAGCTGCTTCGTACGGAAGTTCGCGACGAGGCTTCGATTCCGTGGTGGCCGAGGCTCCGATGTCGTCTTTCTGTGGTCAGAAAGCAGCACACTGCTGCACGGCTGCACCCACGGTGCTGCTCTCCCTCTCTCCACAGAGGAGTGACGGCCGGGGGTTGCCCCAGGCAACGCGGGTGCAGGACGGCTCGCGGCTGGTGATCCTCACGCTGGTGGGCGTGGCCTGTGTTGGCGGGATCCTTGCGGCCTCACTGACGGTCGCCTGCCTGCGACACCATGCCCGTCAGCTGGCCTCCAGAAAGCTTGGCCTGGGGCCAGAGGCGGGCCATGAGACGCATTTTGAGTATCAGGTACGGAGTGCCAGAAGGGTCAAAACCCGCACGCAGGTTACGGAGCCACAAGAGCTGCTCTCAGTAAATAGCTCACTAGGGGGTGAACATATGGGTCATTCTGGATAAAGCACCAAGAGGCTGGAGCTGTTATATATGTACCACATAACTAATGAGATAATTAACCCTGAATAGCTGCGGTAAAACAGCAGTAATGTAGCAGTTCGGAGATGTGGCAGGATCTCATGAAAGTGGCAGAATAGGGGCAGCTTCCTTTGGCTCCGAGCCTGTGGGTGGGGGGTCACAGCTGTGGGGGGGGGGGATTCCTGCCTGTAATGGTTCCTGTTATTTCTTCCAGTGCCCTGGGCAGGTATGACGATCTGAGGAGTTTGAAAAGCTCATCACTGCTGAAACGCCATTGATAATACTACTACTACTGCTAATAATAATAAAAATAATAATAATAATAATAGTGATGATAATGAGTGACCCCCCCGTCTCTCCCCCAGGAGTTATGCCGCCAGCACATGGCCACCAAGTCGTCGTCGCGGCAGGACGCGGGCTGTGGGGGGGGCGGCGGCACGGACACGTCGCGCGTCAGCAGTGTGTCGTCTCAGTTCAGCGACGCAGCGCAGCCCAGCCCCAGCTCGCACAGCAGCACCCCCTCCTGGTGTGAGGAGCCGGCGCAGTCCAACATGGACATCTCCACCGGTCACATGATACTGGTCAGTGCGCGGCCGCCTCACGCCAGCCCCGTGTAGCGGGAATGAACAGAGCCAGTAAAAGCTTGAAAAAGTAAAAGTAACTAGTACCAAGCGGTTTAACGGAGGGGGGCTGTGGGTGGAGTTTCAGCCTGGAACTTCAACTTTGTGAAGCTCACAACCTCCAGTTTTTGTTGCAATACATAAATACATACATATATACAAAATATCCATGTATACATAAATACATATATATATACAAAATATCCATGTATACATAAATACATACATATATACAAAATATCCATGTATACATAAATACATACATATATACAAAAGTACATATACAAGTGATACAGTACATATACATTGATTGGTTCCCCAATGACCTCTGTCTCTCTCCCTCTTTCTATCCCCTTCTCCTCTCTCCGTCCTCCTCTCCTCTCTGTCCCCCTCTCCTTTCTCTATCCCTCTCTCTCTTTGCCCCTTCACTCTTTCTCTCTGTCCCTCCTCTCCTCTCTATCTCTCTCTTTCTGTCCCCTCTCCTCTTTCTGTTTTTAATTTTCTCTGTCCTCACCTCCTCTCTCTCTACCCCCCCTCTCTTTCTCTATCCCCCCTCACCCCTCTCTCTCTCTATCCCCCTCTCCTCTCTTTCTTTCTCTCTCTGTGTCCCCCTCTCCTCTCTCTCTTTCTCTCTCTCCGTGTCTCCCCTCCCGTCTCTTCCTCTATTGCTCTCTGTCCCCCTATCTTCTCTCCCCCCCTCTTTCTTTGGCCAGGCCTACATGGAAGACCATCTGAAAAACAGGGACAGGCTGCTGAGAGAGTGGGAGGCTCTGCGCGCCTACCAGGCCGAGCCCAGCTCCGCGTCCGTCGCCCAGAGCGACAGTAACCACAAAAAGAACCGCAACCCTGACTTTGTGCCCTGTGAGTGCCCCGGCTCTTCCACGATCTTCCACTCCGCCCCCCAGCCCCCACCCCAGTGTAAATCATCCCGCGTGGCTCTGTTACAGACAACCACTCCCGGGTGAAGCTGAAGGCTGAGATCAATCCCTCGCGGGCCGACTACATCAATGCCAGCACCATCGTGAGTATTGGCACCATTGGCATGGCGATTGCCGTGAGCGGGCCTGGTGCATAGTGGGAGGCTGAGCCAAACGTTTTTTGTGGTGAAATTCATCATTAAAGCGAAGCGGAGCACTGTGATCAAGCTGAACTGCTTTTAAATACATTAGCATTTACATGCCAGTTGGGGGCAGGGGGTGGGGGGGGGGATGGCAGTCTGCCCGTATGTAATGAGAACGAGCACTTTTCGCTTTGATGGATTAATCCCCAGAAAAAACCTGAATGACAGCTTGCCGTCTGGCAGCCTACACCTTTCCATCTTTTAGTTATAACAAGTCCTGTAATCTTACAAAACATCCAACAGTGGCAAAGACTGTTTCAAAGTCTGCCGGTGCCCTTGTTGAACTCGTGGGAGTTTTAAATACACAAAAATGTTCTGAGGGCAGTGGGAAAAATGATTGGTTCAGAGAGATAACAAATCAGATTGTAGAGGAGGAGGGTCCAAGCAACTAGAGAAGGTGGAACCAAGACATCTGATTGATTGGCCCCACTTCCTCTAGTTGCTTAGACCCACCTCCTGGTTATCTTTTTGGACCAATAATTTTTCCTTCTGCCGTCAGAACATTTTTGTAAAACTTCCATGAGCCCTTGTTGCTTTGGATGGTCTGTCAGCGTGAACACTTTGGCCCTGTTTCAGTCCTGCGGTCATAATAATGTTTTAACAACTGTGCCAGGTGGAAATTGTCCTCAAACAAGGCCAAGCCAACCACATACAGAGCAGAAAGTGTGGGACTGTCTCCTTTTTCCAGAAGACCAGTCTCATTTAGATATAAACTTCCTTCATATGGGTGCTGATGAAGATGATCATTGATATTTATGACCTTCAAACCTGTTAGAGTTGCTTCACAATCACCCATAGGAGACATACAGCAGATTAAACCAGTCCCACCCGTACGCTGAAAGCCATAATGAAAAATGTTATAAAACTGGAAAATTTCATTTTTTCTTCTCTCTTCAGCTGTGTTCAGATCGATCGTCTGACATGGTCACCAGACTAATCCTGCACACTCTTACACATCAAAAAACACGGCGCTATTCAAACCTTCTGCCAGCCGACCAATGAGATATCGTCATTATTAGGGGCTGATTACTATGGTAATTTTTATCAGCTGGACCCATCTGGACCTAATGCCAAAGTGTATATATGTTTCTGATGAAATGTATTGTGCTGGCTAATCCCAAGGTTCTTGGGAGCTGGATTGTAACGATTTAGCACAGTTACAAAGAATCAGCGTTTTTCTCATTCTGTTGTTTGCCTGGCATCTCTGTGTCTGTACGTCTAGATCGAGCACGACCCCCGAATGGCGGCTTACATCGCCACCCAGGGGCCCCTGCCACACACCATCTCGGACTTCTGGCAGGTCTGTGTTGCACGCGCGCTGCACATCCGTGTGTAAGTGTGTCGTGTGATTCTGTGCACTTGTGCGTGTTTCTCAAGTGTTTCATTGTGTGTGTTGGAAGTGAAGCTGGATGTGTGTTATATGAGGCAGTCCTGGATGATATAATATGAGGCAGGTTGTATACGTATATTACCTGATAACATTAAGTACTTGCCCAGTCTTTCTCTGTACCCCAAGAATTTGTGTGTGTGTGTGTGTGTGTGGGGGGGGGGGTGTTGTGTATTGTATATATTACATTGTAGGGACCCAATGTCCTGTTCTTTTGACATTATGTGGCCATTTTTCTGGTACCCACAAGGGGAAATTCAATTTAATAGAAATCAGTGACTGAAATCAAAAAACTAAAAGTGTCAAAATTCTTATAATTTGTTTGGTTAAACAAGGTTAAGGTTAGGGCTGAATAGGGGTAAAGGTTGTCCGTGCTGGGATTAGGGTTTTTCCCATAGAAATACAGATGCTGTGTAACACAGGGTGTTATACTGTAGTTAGTGCGTGACAGTGTGAGTTACATTATAGATGCTGTGTAACAGAGGGTGTTATACTGTAGTTAGTGCGTGACAGTGTGAGTTACATTGTAGATGCTGTGTAACAGAGTGTGTTATACTGTAGTTAGTGCGTGACAGTATGAGTTACATTATAGATGCTGTGTAACAGAGGGTGTTATACTGTAGTTAGTGCGTGACAGTGTGAGTTACATTGTAGATGCTGTGTAACAGAGGGTGTTATACTGTAGTTAGTGTGTGACAGTGTGAGTTACATTATAGATGCTGTGTAACATAGTTGGCGTTGCTGTAGATGGTGTGGGAGAGTGGTTGTACGGTCATCGTCATGATGACGGCTCTGGTTGAGGATGGAGAGAAGCAGTGTGATCGTTACTGGCCTGACGAGGGCTCGTCTCTCTACCACATCTACGAGGTTGGTGTCCGCCGAACTGCACATGTATGTATGCGTGCGTGAGCGTGTGCGTGTACCGTCAACCCTGACTGCGTACTGCCCGGCTCCCAGGTCAACCTGGTCTCAGAGCACATCTGGTGTAACGACTTCCTGGTGCGCAGCTTCTACCTGAAGAATGTGCAGACGCAGGAGACACGCACGCTGACCCAGTTCCACTTCCTCAGCTGGCCCGCCCAGGGCATCCCCAACTCCACACGCCCCCTGCTGGACTTCCGCAGGTACTACCATTCTGCTGGCCCGAGCACTCCGGCACTGGAGCTGTCACAGTGTGCCTCTTGCATTCCCTTCAGGATCTATTCCACTCTGACTTTTACAGCTGTGTAATTTTAAGCATTACACCAGCCTGTGATGCTATTTGCGTTAAATCTTTGCTAAATTCTTTGGAGCAGCTGTGTTAAGAAGGGTGCTATATAGAGCTAAATCAAAGAGAATAGATTCAAGCATCCAGCCTCTATAATTCCCTCACCACCCCTGTGCGTGCACAGGCTAATTACACGCACGTGCACCTGGGCGTTTGAAAACAGCGGCACGTGGTCAGCAATGCGGTCGACTACAGCCGGCGCTTGTCCTGAATCCCCGGTTGGAGCTCGGTCCAGTTGGCCGATTTAATCCTCACTGTCATCTGCTCTGACTGCTAACCTGGCTTCAGGGTGCCGACTGGCATCGCAACAGCCTAATTCTTTCCAGTTTGTCTTCCAGCTCCTCCGTCTTTCGTGTGTAACCCCCACCCCACACACTCAGCCTTCTGCAGTGTCACCCTGCTCCCCCCCCCAAAGGGCCATCGGTTTACACTCCTGCCAGTGTCATTTTTGTGATTTGCAGCTTGTAATCTAGGTCCAGTTGCATAGTCACAAAAATGATCATTGGCAGGTGTGACTGCAGCAGGATCAATGTTATAGTGGGATAATCCACTGCATGCCCCCCTGCCATTACCTCCCCTCCTCAGGTGTCCTCACCAGCCAGTCACCTGCTGGTCATTCAGATTTTCTGTCAGGCCCCAGGGCACCTCAAGCCCCCTCCCAGCCTGCGAAACCCCAGGCACCTTCAAGATAAACCTTAAATGTTAGCTTAGCCACATGCTACTGAGTGAATTCCCATTATTGTTGTCATCACTGTTGGCTAACAGCACCCTGACCTGCTTGTCCTTTCTCTTCTCTCGCCTTCTTCTCTATAACGCTGCTCAGGAAGGTAAACAAGTGCTACAGAGGCCGATCCTGCCCAATCATCGTGCACTGCAGGTAAACTGAAAGGTGCAATGCCGACATCCTCCACCAGATGGCATAAGGTTCCCAGATTTAGCTGTTTTGTTACGTTTCATAATTATCTGATGGCTTTCTCGGTCCCACGCAGTGATGGCACAGGTAGGACGGGCACCTACATCCTGATCGACATGGTTCTCAATCGCATGGCCAAAGGTGAGTAGCTCCCCTCTTGTGTAGGACCTGCATGCTTGACTGTCTCCTATTTCTATGGCCCCACTGGAGTTTCTCACTCAGGAAAGCAGGAGATGATGAGCATAAGCATGTTCTCACTGTGTTTCAGTGTTTTTATGTCCTATGGAAAGTGTGTGTGTGTGTGTGCGCGCGCGCGAGTGGATTTACCTATCCTTATGGGGACATAATGTCCCCATAACGTGATAAATATCCGTTTTTTTTTCCCTTATGGGGACCGGTTTCCTGGTCCCCATAAGGGAAAACTCTATTTTATAAAAATCGGTGACTGCTATGAAAAAACTAAAAATGCAAAAACTCTTGTATTATGGTTAGGGCAGGGTAGGGGTTAAGGTTGTCATAGTTAGCATTTGCATTTTTCCCATAGAAATAAATGAGTGGTCCCCAAAAAGATATGTTTACCCAACATGCTTGTGTGTGTGTGTGTGTGCATGTGTGTGTCTGCATGCGTGTGTGTGCATGCATGTGAGTGTGTGTGTGCATGCGTGTGTGTGCATGCGTGTGAGTGTGTGTGTGCATGCGTGTGTGTGTGTGAAGGGTTTGCACTCAGCCCCACATTCCCACCTCCTGTGTGCGTGTGTGTGCATGCGTGCATACGTGCATGTATGCGTGTGTGTGTGTGTGCGTGTGTGCGAGCGGGTTTGTGTGTGTGTGTGAAGGGTTTGCACTCAGCCCCACATTCCCACCTCCTCAGGCGTGAAGGAGATTGACATCGCTGCCACTCTGGAGCACGTCCGTGACCAGAGGCCTGGGATGGTGCACACCAAGGTAGGTCGTGGCTGCTGCCCTTCTACACATCTCATGCCCCCGTCTCCTTAACCCCACCCCCCTCACCCCCACCTCTCTTTCCGCAGGACCAGTTTGAGTTTGCCCTGACGGCTGTGGCAGAGGAGGTCAACGCCATCCTGAAAGCGCTGCCCCAGTGATCCATAACCCCCCCAGTCACTCTCCTGTGGCCCCCTTCCTTTACATTCAATCACACACTGCCTCCCCCCCCCAAGGAATCCATATGAGGGAAACATTTACACCCAGTATTGACCCCCATTAAACAAAAGACAAAGTGGCTCCTCTCAGCCTTCGCCCCCCTCCCCTTCTGAGTGACGTACTGAATGCCTTACCGAACACCCTGACCCCCACCTCCATGACAGCAGACAGGTGCAAACAGACAGGCAGGGCCCAGCTCTCTCAGCATCACATTTTCTGGGTCACGTGATGCACAGCAGATCCGGTCCAAACAGACCCACCTAGTATAGCACTCTACACTAACGCTGCAAATCTCTCAACACCAAACTGAAAATTCGGTTCCTGTGAAGTGCTCAACCCAATGTGGTTATAGGTCCGAACACATAACAGAGAAAAAGAAATCAATTAAGAATCACACTGCAAACATATAACAGCAGCTGATGTTACACTGTTAAAAGTCAGAGTGGAGAAGACAGAGCTGGTAGATGTACGGCCAATACAGTCTCTCCCCGGTTGCCATGGGGTTACCTTCCGATAAACCTTCCGATAAACCTTCCGATAAACCTATCGTAAGGCGAAAATATTGTAAGGTGAAAATGCATTTTAATAGAGTACACCTAACCTAAGAAACATCACGGCCCGGTCAGACACACTCAGACTCCAGGGCGGCCCGGTCGGATAGACTCAGACTCCAGGGCGGCCCGGTCGGGCACACTCAGACTCCAGGGCGGCCCGGTCGGGCACACTCAGACTCCAGGGCGGCCCGGTCGGGCACACTCAGACTCCAGGGCGGCCCGGTCGGACACACTCGGACTCCAGGGCGGCCCGGTCGGACAGACTCGGAGTCCAGGGCGGCCCGGTCGGATAGACTCAGACTCTAGGGCGGCCCGGTCGGATAGACTCAGACTCCAGGGCGGCCCGGTCGGACACACTCAGACTCCAGGGCGGCCCGGTCCGACACACTCGGACTCCAGGGCGGCCCGGTCCGACACACTCAGACTCCAGGGCGGCCCGGTCGGATAGACTCAGACTCCAGGGCGCCCGGTTGGACAGACTTAGACTCTAGGGCGGCCCGGTCGGATAGACTCAGACTCTAGGGAGGCCCGGTCGGACACACTCAGAGTNCGGTCGGATAGACTCAGACTCCAGGGCGCCCGGTTGGACAGACTTAGACTCTAGGGCGGCCCGGTCGGATAGACTCAGACTCTAGGGAGGCCCGGTCGGACACACTCAGAGTTCAGGGCGGCCCGGTCGGACAGACTCAGACTCCAGGGCGGCCCAGTCGGACAGACTCGAAGTCCAGGGCGGCCCGGTCGGGTAGACTCAGACTCTAGGGCGGCCTGGTCGGATAGACTCAGACTCCAGGGCGGCCCGGTCGGACACACTCAGACTCCAGGATACACTCAGCACATTTTGTTGGTTTGTTGGTGCCCTCAGACAATGAATTTATAAAATATGCACTAATTTCTATATTACTGAACAATAATAGGGTTAAAGTGTTGAGTAGTAAGGACTGGGTCTGTGATTTCCGCTACAGGGATAATAAAGATGGCCTTAATATTGAAGGATTAAATGCAGGACACATGGAGGATTTTTTTGTGCCCCAGCTAAACACGCTGAACTGTTGATATTCGGTCCGTTTGCTGTTCTCGGGGCCTGGCTGTCACCTGGAGGCTCCTGATTGGAGGTTTGGGTTTCGGAGGTTACCATGGAGATGTTCCTGTGCTCCTCTGTTCCACAGTTAGACCAGTTTCAAGAAACCCCTCTCCACTTACCCTCTGCCTTCATCTGGTTTCAGCTGCTTCAGCTAAATCTACCCTGACCTTGCTAAAACTTCTCCTTGTATCACTGTATTTTATGTAGCAAATAAACAGAAAATAAGAAAAAAAGAAAATATACTATTTTGTAACTTCCTGTGATTAATAAAGTTTGTGATGTCGTGCAACGCAGAGAGCGTGTGACTGGCCTTCTTTTTCTCGGCCTTGGCTCTGTGGGTGGGGGTGGAGCCAGATGACACGGCTATTCATTGGCTGGAAGCATCTCTCACTATCCAGTTATTGGCTGGATGCTTCTCTTGCATTTGTCTCTGTCAAAAATCTGTTAGCGGTTTAGCGGCTAGAGCAGCCGTGGAGCAAAAGGACACAGATTGTCCCTGGGAGCCCCTCCCACAGTCCTGTGTGCCCCCACAAGACAGATGACTGCAGGAGCACAGGACAGCCAGGTTAGCCATGGACTTAGGGCTGTGGATAGGTCTCTATTCACAGCCAACATAAAACACATACTCCCCCCACACACAGAACTACAGTACATGAGAAATTATTAAGTAATTTAAAACATGCCCATTTTTGGCTGTACAGTGAAACATTATCCAGTGAAGAGCTGATCCCCTCAATGAGTTCCCAATACATTTCAAGGGCAGTTGTATAAATTGGGCAACAGGAATGTAGACAGTATATGTTAGAAGGATTGGGGGGTGGGTGATTTTGAGACCATTCAAACCAGCTGCTTCCCAGCATTCCACACATTCAGGAGCGACTCCGTCAGACTGCAAGCCTGTTTCTAAGAGCCACATGCCCAGAGTGGACACTGCAAGTCTAAAAAAGGAGCGTGAAGTGAATCCCAGTGAACCTTGGGCCACGGTGCCAGGCCATTTCCACAGGGCACTTAGTGCTGCAGCTCCAGGTTAGTGTTCAGACTGATGTGAGAGTGAGCAGGAAGTACCCGGCCTCCATCGTTGTGCCCTTCTACGACAAACTTCCCCACAAAGCCCCGCCTTGTATTTCTCCAATCCGTCCAATGGAGTTGAAGAACAGGAGAGAGGTCACCTGGGAGGTCGTGCTCGGTTTATCCTGGACTTGACAAATCAGAGACTGCTCATCAAAAACACACATTTTCTTTTTATATTGTAACTTTATAACTTTTATTTTCTCCAGGTGCAACAGAATCACCCTTAATCACAAGACATAGATATATGACTGTCACTGAATCAAAAACTGTGTTTTGTTTCCGTTACCCATCTAGCCCTGCTTTGTTCCTGCTCAGTAAAGCTCCACGCCGGTATCACTACGAGAAACTGGCTTTGGGTGTTTAGCAGAAATGACAATGATACTGTTAATGAAGTGTGGATGACAGCTATTCGAAGCTTTCCCTGTCAATCATGGGGCATTATAACTTTGTGTTTATACAACAGTCTCCTCTGTTTCAAGGGAATTCCATCGCAAAGCATCATCAGTCCATCCGCTGAACCTGGGTCCATCCGCTGAGCCTTAGAGTCTCAGTGAGAAAAGTCATGCAAAAGGAAGGCCTCTCTTTTTACAGACTGAAGACCAATGTGCTTTCGATCAATACAGATGCTGTAAATACAAAAATTACTGACAAAAACGTTCTGCCAAAACCACAATACGAAAGCCTAGCGCACTTCATATAAGTTCCCATCCAAACTGAGGCAATAATTGCCATCTTCCTCACCATGTTCTTCATCACACATAAAGGCACTGAATGACAGAAAAAATGTGAAAAAGTAAGCTTAATTTTAGCATTATTAACGGATGTGAGTAACACTGTTGCAGAATTCGGTGGCAATGCACATGCAGAATTCACGTGAACACTTCAGTATGGCCCGGGCATTTCCGCAGCACCCGATTTAGCATATATGTAAAGAAAGGTGTCAATATTCTGGAAAAAAAGTCCTATAGACATTTATGGATGAATTAGTTTCCCAGCTGATGTAAGAATCCTCTGACATTTAGTAGATTAAAGTAATTTAATATTAGTCAGATTCGAGCTTCCTTTAAACCAACGAAACTAATGTAAAAAAAAACAAAATCTGTGTTACACTTCCTTTCCCATTTTTATAAGTATTATTTCATATTTCTACAGGAGCCTAGAAAAATAATACATTTCCACAGGCTCAACACAGGGCCATTTCACAGGCATCTGTGAAGACGACTAAAACAAGGAGCAGCTTAGTCCGCACAGGCAGGGGGCCTCTGAGAGGGGCGGGAAGGCAATACAGAGAACATGAAGCAAATTCACTGCGGCTGAAGGAGAGCAAGGTGTCAGCGTGGGGCTGGGGGTGACATCAGCATCAAATGTCTATTTAACTTCATGCGGTCCACCTCAAAACACATTAGGAAGGCGTGTCCCATGAGATGGTGAAGGCGGGTGGGTCACAGACAAGATACTTTCAGTCAAGGCACTGGACTATTGAGAACATGGGCTTAACATGGAAGTGAGGTACACGCTTGGAAGATGGCCGCCACTACTCCACTCTTGCTGCTTGGTTCTCCATGCACATGTCAACAAACCACGCAGTTGCACTTTCGTTTCTTCTTGACATTATTCTGGGGCCGGTTGCTCTCTTCATCCTCTCGGGGTCTGCTGGGACCCTGGCTGGCCCCATAAACACCACGGCTGATCACAGGATCTGTGGGATCTCTTCGCGAGGGGGGGGTGTTGTCCTTCTCTGACCGCATCCTCTCATTCGCGGCTCTGGGCTGGTCCCTGACCACCTTGCCCTTCTTGTTCCCAGTCCCACGCCCACCAGGACTGCCATCTCGCAACTCTGACAGGCTGCAGGCCATTGCCACCTGCAGCTGCTCATCCTCTTCTATAACTCTGCTTTTTCGGGAGCGGGGGCTGGATCTGTGGGCGGGGCTGTGCTTCTGCCGGGGGGAGGCCTTTGGCTTGCTGTTAGATGAATCCTGGATGGACTTCTTTTGCTGGGCCAACTTTCTAGGTGAGTCCCTAAGGCTCAGCTCGATACCCAGGGCCATTTCGTCCTCCACACCTGCACGAGACAATGCAAAAGTGATTATGGGGAAAGAAAAGGGAGGGCAGAGAGAGAGTATCACAAAGCTGAAATGAGCACCTTTACCGTTGATGAGAACCTTCTTCAGGACCCCGTCCTCCTCGATCTCCGTTCTCTCCTGCCCGTTCTCTACGATTCTATCAGGCAAGAATGCATCACAAAGTTAAGCACAAGCGGAAACGTCACTGGCAGAGACTGGAAAGGCGGGAAGAGGGCATGACCAGGGGCAGATTAACGCACAGGCTAGATATGGCTTAAGCCTAGGGGCCCCACGTGTGCCAGCCTGCAAGGGGGCCCCCATTGGCGCGGAGGGGGGCGGGGTTGGGGGGCTCACAGACTACTGTAGCCTAGGGGCCTCTGTGCACCTTAATCCGCCCCTGGGCATGACCACTGCAGCACTGCGCCGCTGATGGAAACTGACTTTCTGGTGGTGGTGCACTTTCCGTTAACGATGCGCGTGGAGGTGGAGACGGATTTGAAGTGGCCCATCCCACCGCCTACGAACTCCCTTCTGGCCATCCCTCCCATGGGGGGGAAAGAGGTGAATTCCACTGGAGGAGAGAGAGGGTGGAGCCAGTGAGCTTACACTGCAGGCACTGGCGTAGCCAGGAATTTTTGACAGTAGCTGCATACCGTGTCTATCCAACCTTTCATCACCTAGTTCCCAGTGCCCCCAACTGTGGCACCACCCAACCTATATTCACGTTTCTTAAGAACAGGTTTTTAACAGTAAACTGTATATACTATATTTTAAATCATTGTGCATAGCCGCAGACATTTTAGCTAATTCATTGTGATTACAGTGATTTTATTTTTAACTGCTGTAAACCGAACTTCAAAATCATGTTGAAATTGCGATTTATATTGCTTACAGTACATGTGAACAATGTGCGCAAAACAGCAAGGAACCATTATTCGCTGTCTCAGGATGTGGTTTAAGGACTCTCGGGATTTCACAATGATAGGGAACACAGGTCCTAAACATAATTTTTCTGAATTTCACATGCAAAAAATGTAAAATTTTCATGACAGGGGGTGTGTACACACCTCACACACCGTGTATGGTACACCACTGACTGCGGGTGAAAAATGCACACCTGCTAGCATCTGCCTGTTCGTACAGGACCTGTCTGTCCTTCAGGGTGACAGCACAGACTCACTTTGGGGTGCGGGAAAGAAGAGCCGACCGGGGGAGTGGAACGGGGGCTCGGGATACCCAAAGAACCCACTGTGCCGGCCGCCATTCGTCATCCCTCCGTGCATGCCACCGAAGGGAAAGTCATCTGCAGGGGGACACGAGGGACAGCTGAGATGTGATGACGCTCTGGGCTGGTGGCTAGATCAGAAAGGCAGAGCTGGAGATGCCCAGGTCCACAGTATGTCCTGAATTTCACTTTCAGCTGCCTGACTGTAATGCTTGAGTTTTAAATATTGCAGGTGCTTCATGAGGAGAATGTCTGAAAACAGACTTAAGGGCGTCCACAAGCTAAAGTAAGGCCCACACGCAACAATAACAAAAGCATCACAGAACAGAACAACTTCATGTGATGCTGCCAACCTGTATGAACTAAATACTGCATATTAGTTCTAGAAAAGAAAATAATGCCTGACTGCTATTAGAGATGCAAAATTCTGGGAATTTTCTGTTAATTCCCATATATTCCTGGTAATTCTCATGGAAAGTTTCTAACTGAATATTTACAAAATTTCCCAGCTTAACTTCCCATGGAATGGAATGTTTCAGGAAATTTACTGCCCCTTTGAGACCCTAACTGCTATTACAACTAAAGTAAATAATGAACAAATGAACAATGACTTTCTTGAATTAATTGCTTCACCAAATGAATGTTGATATGCTTTCCAATGTGCTGGAGTAACATCCTGTGGTTTTTCCATTCAATTCGATTAAAATAACCTTATTTATTGAAGGGCAATTTTTAAGACCCATAACTCATTTCCATTCTGATGCCGTCATCTGCACAAATACACAAAGCACCCATTGTGGAGATGTTTCTCCCCACGTTCTCAGGCGCTCACCAAAAAAGCTGGCGAAAGGATCCTGGCCACCAAAGAACTCCCGAAATACTTCCTCTGGGCTGCGGAATGTGAATGTAAATCCGGGGAATTCTCCTGGGCTGGAGGGTCCACTCGAGCCTGTGGGAGATCACGGACACATGACATGAAACAATGAGGCACTGTGGGTTGTTGGGGAAGTCCAAGCTTAGTAATCACTGCCATCAAAACACAGATTATGCTACGAGATATCGCTCAACCTTGGACATAAGTGCAGCTCACCTGAACTGCATGTGCTCTCTTTGCCATAATTATCATATGCTTCCCGCTTCCTGCCTGAGAGAGAGAAAACGCTTATCCTTACATCAGAGCTTCACACAGGGCGCCAGGACCAATGGGATGTTAGCCCACTGAGTAAAACATAAGTAGATTGTGAACTGATATTAAGATCCACTAAACCACGAGTTGGGCCCAGTTCTTACCATCAGACAGAACCTCATACGCTTCTGCGATCTCCTTGAATTTCTTTTCTGCTTCCTCTTTATTGTTGGGATTCTTGTCTGGGTGCCATCGCAGAGCCTGTTTTCTGTACCTTGAGACACACAAGCACACATTTGGCCGCCTGGTGAAGCACAAACAGCACTGTATTTTTACAAACTATCACATTCTCAAAGCTGTTTTGCACTGCATCACCTCGGGTTAGTAATAAGGAGAATATTTAACTAAATATGAACAGCTAAATTTGCTGCCAAGGATTAAATACTCACTCAGTGTTCTGTGTCAGCACAAAAGGTGTCTGTGAGCTATGTAGTTCTCTTTTTGTTGACACAAGCGCAATTTAATAACGAATGTGCAGGCTAACAAAAATTAAGCAGATATACACTAGCTTCTGCCAAAATTAATATTTTATATTCTCATTCCAGACAAGGCATGCGAAACGCGGTCCTGAAGCTGTGGCAACGAACACGTTTTGACATTATTTAAAGTTGACGAAACCGTCATATGATCAATAGCTTCTTTTGGCAACTGATTCAACATCATCATGTTTAGGAACATGAGCCAAAATTAGACACAGGCGTCCGACAGCTGTCCCCAAACCACAGCGCATTTTATTCCATGTTGAGCGGACTTGTGGGCAGACAGACGTGGGGCCCTTTCACTGGGTATGATGGCAAAACGTGCTGTTCAATCCAGTTACAAGAAACGGCAATATCTGCGCCTTACTTACGCCCGTCTGATATCTTCTGGAGAGGCATTCCGTGACACCCCCAAAATGTCATAGTAATCCACCATGTCTCACCCCGCCTTTTATTAACCTGCAAAATTAGACGGATTAGATGAAACCGCTACCTGGCCTGCTTTCTTACTGTAGGATACATACCGCCGAAATTACCTTATTTATACCTTATTATTAATGCCCGTATAAACGATTCATAAATGCTAAAGTACAAAACCGGTCACTTGTTAATGCCTGCAGATTTGTTACCCTACCTCACCACACGAGCGTCCTAAAATAGTAAATTATAAAGACAGACCCACCACAGGCTATAACCGATCTACAATATCGGGAATGGGCGTGCCGGGGGGATTACTGGTAACACCACGTGCAATCGTTTTTATTTTTATTAGACTGGGAAGAAACGGTCATAGTCCAGGCCCAATAGATAACAGCCGACCATCGACAGTGCGTTTCACGCCAAGCCCAGCATTGTGTATACGGTACACACAAACCCCGACCCCTCTGGAAAGCGAAAACAATGCACGGTTATTTCCAACTCCGCATTACTTTGGTCATTATGGCTCCTGACAGCTGCAGCTTCTCGGCGAAAAGAGACGCGACTTGCTTACGATCTCCACAGAAATGCGGAATGTAAACTCATGACAAAGATCATATTCCCAGATCAAGTACGAAAGCTGTTTTGAACCATCAGGACACTGGGAAGGCTGTACAAGAGATACGGAATTACAGACAGATTAGGAACGTTTCAGTGTCTGAAATGTATTTTGACTGAGAAAAAAACGTTCGTTACATCGTGTATTATTATTGGATCCATAAAATACTGACACATTACCTTGATATAATCCGATTAATAGACCATATGGCGTGTCTCCGTCTTCTCCAATGGCCGAGAAATAAGACCGATTCCGTGACTGGCACTCCTAACTAGATCAGTCACTACGGAGGATGCAGTAGCCCATCAAAGCTCGGCCCGATCGTGCGTTTTCCCTGTTCCTGAAGCCCTGTATTCCTAGCGCTCTTATATACGCCAAAAACCGAAAGTGGTGTCAAAAAAAAAAAAAAACGGCCCGACGATCATGTAACCCGCAGCACTGCGCCGTCTGCAGGGGATCGAACTCGCACCCTTACGTCACATTAGCTAAGCAAAGCGTCCAGGAGAAATTAATATAACATTCAGGTCAGAGATGCCGTGTGTCCGCGTTTTAATTATGCACCAATATTACATCGGTGACAGCTAGGAAAACCCCAACCAAATACCCCTACCTCTAATCAGAGTGTCTATGGATGCCGAAAACATCTAGTCATGCTCTTTATTTTACCTGTAGGCTATATTTGATCTAAACTCATCACAACTTTTACTTTTGTTTTAGTTTGAGTATTGGTGTAGAGTCCAGATTATGGAGGATAAAGTATTTGTTCGTCTATACTTTATTAGTCGCATTTTTATATGTTTATATAGCAATCTCGGGTAACTAATACTTCCCACCGAATGGTAAAGGGAAAAAGAGTTAAAATATATGCTATATGGTAGATTTGTTTAATTAACGTTTGACCTATCATCCAACAAAATATTAACAAATATAGCTGATGGTGTCGTAAAACATGCACACTAGATGATCATTGGGCCTAATGTGTTTCATTTAGAAAATTAACCCAAATTTCGGCATCACACATGTTTTTATCGTTTAGGTCTCCTTGACAAAAGAAATTGAGCGAACATGATTACGATTGGGGTTTTGAATCAGGCTGCGACGCCATCTATCGACGATTACTAATTATAACTGACTGAAAGATAGACTAAATCTAAGAACGAATGCTGTCCTCGAGGAAACTAAGAAAAAATAGCGTGCAATGTGTGGACTTGGCCCCATTTGGAACAATTTCAGAACCTGGAAGAATACAAAAAAATAACACTGCATTAAATAGGCGTCGTTAGGCCCTACTTCATAATGCAAATTATTATAAGTCATTTTCGCTGTGTAAACAAAGAACGACGGCAAAAGTCTCCTAAGAGCTGCACGTATTAGCATTTACTGTAGCAATTGATTTACAGTTAAGTAAAGTTTTTGTTATTAAACCAGACAGCGTTGGACAGACGGAATTTGGTAGGAAGTAAAACATTTTATATTCATTCTCAAACTTCCTATACAACATTTATGGGATTTCTTCTTCTTATATTGTTATTTGATTATTGTGAGGGGAAATCAAAAAGTTTTTTTCTATTCTTCACAGCACTGCGAGACTTTTCATGCGTTTCCGCATCCTGTCAGCAGGAGGCAGACCCACCTTAAATTATGTGAATCGTGTTTGGTAGTCAGGATTATTATATTTATTGGCGTATTTACCCTATTCCGCCTGGAACCATTAGCAGATTTGACAAAATACTAATATATGGCAGGTCAATAAAAAATAAATGCCTGGCTACTACAAAATATAGGAACTGTGTAAATAAAATATAATTCCTTACTATAATATAATAGAATATTATATTAACCCTAAATAGCCTTGTGAATAGTTAAGCATATTTGCTTTGCTGTGAATGTTTTATGAGGCAAATGGTGTGATTAATAGATGGCAAGACTCCTCAAGGCAAACAGTCTTTGCTGTGAGCTGGGCTATGTGTTCCCTTTTCGTCTTTTCAAAAATTGCAGAAATGATTCCAATCACTTCCCGTATAAATGCTGATTTTTGGGTTTCTGCTCATCCCAGTCTGTTCCTCGGTCGTTTAAAAATACAGACGCATTATTTCGTTTGATGGTCTCCTCCTAAGAATGAATAATGGCCAGGTCACACTTCCAAACTTATATTGAAAAATAGGTGGTTCTAGATCCGATTTGGGGGAGGGGCTTCAGACACCCAATTTTTTCTTAGTGACCTAAGAAACCTTTTTTCTTAGTGACCTCATGGAGATAAATTTGATCAAGATCAGCTCAGGAAAGGAAGGCCTTACAAAGGGCTGCAATGTCAGCCGAGACCATTGTAAATGAGCTTCCATCCATCAACCGGATACACATTTATCTACCGCTGACTTAAAGCAAAATATATTTCAGCAGCCATCTAACCCTAGCCTCAATCTCTCCTCAACCCAGAGTCTAGTAGGAAACTTTGCAGGATAGGAATCTTATCCCGCAAGCTGTACACATAATAGCCAAATACGGACCACTGTAATATTAATCACACCTACACTTTATGTGGATAATATCTAAATGTAACCTGTTTTCACTGCACTGTTGCAGATCCATTTATTATAGTCGGTTGTTCTGTGTGCTGGGCATGACTGAAGAAACAAATGTTCCTCTACATTTGTAGCACAAAGCCAATGGAACAAATGGAATCTACAGCTCCCAAACTTTGCATATTTTGGGTGTTTTTGCAAACCCTTGGGTGTGTAAGAGTCACACCAGCTTCTAGTCAACACTCCTTGCAGCCACATCCCAACAGACCACACCCTACTTAAGCAGACTGAGACACACCTGGAACATATGAAGTGGTTAGACTACGGGTAGTATAAGGAACTCTTAAGTAAAACATTTTTGACAGCGTTTCCTCAACCTGGTCTTCAAGGGCACCCAGATAATCCATATTTTTGCTCCCTCCCAGGTCCCATGGAGTGTCTGGGGTCCCCAAGGACTGGGATGTGAAACATTGTGTCATATGGTCTCATTGCTGACTAGGCAGATTACAGTGTGTCTGACTGACTTCTATTGATGTATAAGCAATTTTGTTTGCTAAATGTGATTGTGACTGGATTCATATTGTTCTGGATTCATTCTTTTTACATTTGGGTGCAGGTCATTCCGTGTTGGGAATCAATAAACCTGCTTGAACTTTCATTAAGGTAATCGCTGTAAGTTACGCTTCTCTCATAACCACCAAATAAATACAGGTTTTTGGAAGTCTTTTTTAAAATTGCATTTATTTCAAACATAGACCCATAACAGCATTGTTGGAGTGCTCTGTTGATGTAGGTTCATGGAATGCTCATTGACATTATGGAATGATTTATTGTCCATAAGTAACTAATTAAAGTCGGGAGTTTTGGAATGCAGGGTCAGCACAGATGGGTGGTTCTTCCTCCTTAGTATTCCTCTCCTTCCTCATCTTCCTCACCAACACTGTCTGTGCCCACCTCTTCGTAGTCTTTCTCCAGGGCAGCCATGTCTTCACGAGCCTCGGAGAACTCTCCTTCTTCCATCCCCTCTCCCACATACCAGTGGACGAAGGCACGTTTGGCATACATCAGGTCAAACTTGTGGTCCAGGCGGGCCCAGGCCTCAGCAATGGCAGTGGTGTTGCTCAGCATGCACACAGCCCTCTGAACCTTGGCTAGGTCTCCCCCGGGCACCACAGTAGGTGGCTGGTAGTTGATACCAACTTTGAAGCCAGTAGGACACCAGTCCACAAACTGGATGGTGCTCTTGGTCTTGATGGTGGCAATCGCAGCGTTGACATCTTTGGGCACCACATCTCCTCGGTACAGCAGGCAGCAGGCCATGTACTTGCCGTGGCGGGGGTCACACTTCACCATCTGATTGGCTGGCTCAAAGCAGGCATTTGTTATGTCAGCCACTGACAGCTGCTCATGGTAAGCCTTCTCAGCAGAGATCACTGGGGCGTAGGTGGCCAAGGGGAAGTGGATACGAGGGTAGGGCACCAAGTTGGTCTGGAACTCAGTCAGGTCCACATTCAGGGCTCCGTCAAAGCGCAGGGAGGCGGTGATGGAGGAAACAATCTGACCGATAAGCCTGTTGAGGTTGGTGTAGGTGGGACGTTCGATGTCCAAGTTCCTGCGGCAGATGTCGTAGATGGCCTCGTTGTCCACCATGAAGGCGCAATCGGAGTGCTCCAGGGTGGTGTGTGTGGTCAGGATGGAATTGTAAGGCTCCACCACAGCAGTGGACACCTGGGGTGCTGGGTAGACGGCGAACTCCAACTTGGACTTTTTTCCATAGTCGACAGAGAGGCGTTCCATCAGCAAGGATGTGAACCCGGAGCCAGTACCACCGCCGAAGCTGTGGAAGATGAGGAACCCTTGGAGCCCAGTGCACTGGTCAGCCTAAAAGTAATAAATATGAGAAGGAAAAAATAAAAAACGTCAACCGTAAGTAACCAAGCAAAATACAACATTTTTAGTTAAGTCATTTTATAAAACAGACTCCCCCCCCCCCTTTTGTGGACCAAAAAAAAATTGCCCCAACATAAAAACAGGTTTTCAATCACACTGTCCCCACAATGTAATATATACCTGAACCCCCTCCCTTCACATAATGCTTTCTCTATTGTAAAGTTCTAAATATTGCTAACCAGTTTGCGTGTCCTGTCCAGAACCAGGTCAATGATCTCCTTGCCGATGGTGTAGTGCCCACGGGCATAGTTGTTGGCAGCGTCCTCCTTGCCAGTTATGAGCTGCTCTGGGTGGAACAGGTGACGGTAGGTCCCTGTGCGCACCTCATCTGAGGAAAGATCGAGACCCCAGTCCTTAGCCTTCCAAGTATAGCAGTGAAAATCAGACATCAAGAAGCACTGTTGTACTATAGCAGAGATGAGGAGCGAGTTCAGTACCAATGACAGTGGGTTCCAGGTCCACAAACACAGCCCTGGGGACGTGTTTTCCAGCACCAGTCTCGCTGAAAAAGGTGTTAAAGGAGTCGTCTCCTCCACCAATGGTCTTGTCACTGGGCATCTGGCCATCCGGCTGGATGCCATGCTCCAGGCAGTACAGCTCCCAGCATGCATTGCCCATCTGGGCTCCGGCCTGGCCGACGTGCATTGAGATACATTCACGCTGGAAGGGGAAAAAAGAACAGTCAAGCTTTTGTTTATCTGGTAGTTACAGTACTGGGCTCTCTTATCCAATAGTGAATGGATAAACGTTCAGGCCGAAGGCAATGTCACTGCCTATATAAAAGCCAACCAATATTTAACCGTTGCTGCATCCTGAAGAAACCTGTTCTGTAAACTGACAGCAAGCCACAGTAACAGTGCTGAGCAAATCCTGACTGTAGGATATTTGGGAATTAGCCAGCAGCAAACAAAAGCACTATAGTATTTCCCCTGGGATCCCTTCATTTTGTCGACAATCTTCCTCTTATACCACTTCTGTTTCCCCATCGTTTTTAGCAGACCTGCCAAAACATATTTGAAAGGGGAGCTGTAATTAAATGCCCCTACGAAGATACATTTGTTCAAATTCTTTTTTTAAATGTGCAAAGTTCATCTGCATGTACGAAATTTTTAAACAAGGAACAGAACTGACTTGTGCGAAACTGCCACATCCGTATGGTGAACATCAGCTAATGGCAAAAGGAGGGGCAGCCACCCACTTCTTGTCCCGTGAACCAATCAAATAGCAAGACTCACTCTTTGTTCTCCTGAACCAATCAAAGAGGGAAAAAACCATCCCCTCACCCACGTGTGAGCAGCACACTGCACACACATCTTCACCTTGCTGCCTTCACTTCAGCATAACTGAATGCAAGATAACCAAGCTGAAAATCTTCACAGGGTTCTGCGTGGTTTTGATAGACCATGACCAAACATACCAGAACATTCCTCAGACAAGCACTGCATTTGGAGAATAAAGCTGATTTTCATCTGACATTAAAAAAAATTTCAATATAAAAATATGGTCACATTTTAGATGTGCACACTAATGTAGGGAGCCTTTCTTTCATTAATGCAGCATAAAAATAGCATTATACATACTATATTAAATATGCAAAGCTAGTTATAAACTAAAAGTATCACAAACCCACAGTTATGAATACATCATAACTGTTTCAAACACTAAAAACAAATATTGGTAACTATTTACTTGAAGGACACAGTGTAGTAAACTCACTTTATTAATTAACTAGAAACTAAGCATTACTTATGCACTCATCCAATGTTTCTTCATTAACTGCATGTACCTCACGCAACGACAATATTTATTCTTGATATGCACTTCAGTATAAATCGAGTTTTGTGCCGTCAAGTAAAGTGTTACCAAAACGTTAATCCGTTATGCATGTAGTCTGGAGAGAAGCACTTTAATGTTACCTTATAACTTAACGTGTGCATTGTACAGATGTCAACAATATAGTTTAGCATAATATAACTATAATCCAGCCTCTTCATGCCGGTCTTTGTAGTAACGGTGAGCACAGAGCTGACCGAATTGCGCGTGAGCCTCGCATCAATGGTCCCAGCGGCGCGCGGAACAGAGGTCGCACCCGATCTCCCCTGGAAACGGGCGGTCACGCGCCAGAGAGGGGGGGGGGACCCCCGGGCCGGACCGCCCCTCCCCCCAGCAGTCAGCACGCCCTGCTTTGTGTAACAGACGCAGAGATCTGACTGCGCCTTTTCAGAGAAGCGGGCCGGATTGCTTTTATCCCGCCGCCAGTCCGCTACGCCGCAGGATGCGGCCTGGTCCCCCCACCCTACAAACGGTTTATTTCATTTCTAAAGCAATATAAAACGTTATAGCAAGATGGCATGCTGTCCCTTTCTAGCACTACAGATAAAACAGACATGAAGGTTGGCTCGATGTGGCTTTCCTGCACGGTATGCCCCCCCGCCTCACCGCAGCTAGCTCGCTGCCCAACCCCCCGGTCGGTCTCCTGCCTGTTCCAGTTCTTCAAGGGACACAGTAAGTCCACGTAGCCCTTACTAGACCCACACCCACATACCGTAAGTCAGCATCCTCTTTTTAATTTTTCCTTATTTTATTTTAAATCTTGCTTCTTAAACTGCAGCAAAAACGTACATAAGCGCCGGTTCAGAACCGTGACTCCATCTGCGCAAGCACTCACCATTTTGTCCTTTTTTTTCTCTACCTTCTGGCCGACGTTGAGGGTTCGGAAGGGCAGCAGTGCGGACTGGAGCCCGGGGTGGGGCTTTTATATCGAAGACGGAGCTGGGGAGAGAGGGGCGGGCGGTAGCAGGAAGCTGCTTTGACTGTTGGCGGGAGCGGCGGTTAGTGGGGGGGAGGGAGAGAAAATGGGGGCCGTCCTTTACAGCCTACCCAGAATGCACTGGGGTGGTGCACGGTGGAGCCAGGGGGCATTTATTTACAAATAAAAGGCTCGCATCTTAATCAATAGCAAATAAAGGGAAGTTTTTTTCACCTTGGTCCCTATGAATAAGAAGGAAGTCTGAAGTCTGCAAAAGGAACAATAGCTAAGGGTTTGCCCCACCTTAGAAGGAAAAGAATAACCTAATTTGAAATGGTAATTTAACAGATCCAGGTACTAAGCTAAAAGTCCGTACCTGAGAAGTACGCAGTTAACAAGAAACAGCGCTACCTAACGATCGTACGTCTATGTCAAAACAAGAGACTGAGTTTATACCTAGATTCACTTTTTTGAGATCCGCTAAGCTGGCGGCAGCTACAAAAATAACTGCAAACAGTTCTTCATTTTGTTAGGAAAAGAAATTAACAGAGCGACATGCATTCTTTAGTCCATACTAATACTATTTTGACATTAATTTACACGTTTCCCCTTTAAATTATTGTTCAATTGACGGCAAGTATACTGACATACATATTACGTATTAACTACGACTAACACCAAACTCAAATGTGATGTGTGGTCTTTCTAGGAGAAAAGATCTTTCTTGTGAGAATGTATTTTTTTTTCTCCAGCATCTGAAGAAAGAACATCAAATCTGTAAACGAAATGCTGCACTGCTAACATACTTCTGTTTGCGTTGAGCTGCTGTTAATGAAGTTGGGCTTTCTGTGAGGAAGTGGTTAGTCTTGTGTCCATGACAACAAGTTTATTTTGGCCTCTATCAGTCAGGAAATACTGTCATGAAGCATTAAATTTGTAACTAATAAATATAGCCTGAAGGTGCCTTCCCGATGATGGTCATTAAAGCTAAACACGAAATCACTTTGCATTTCCTGAATATATTTGTCTCTAAATAAGGCTTTGTTAATGCAGGTTGATGAAGTACACCATTTTCTTCCTGCAAAAACAGAAGGGAATATAATAACAAACGCAATATGTGGTAATAATAGAACAGAACAGTGAGTTTCAACAGCAGGACCTTCTGTCTGGGCTGTTTATGGACACGATTGGGTGGGGCTTCCTGAAATAAACAAATCATTCAAATAGTTATACAAAGAGCGAAGACCAAATGTTGTTTTTTTCACGTACATTGACCATAGCGGAATGATTTGAATTTCCTTTTTAGTTCATTTATTTATTTTATTACGGTAATTCTGAGTCATGGGCAGGCGAGAATGCCGAAGTGAAATAAAACTAAAAACGATCAGTGTTCATTGTATTCAGACTGCAGCACAGAAATTCTCTCTGCCACCTTCTGCTGGGTTAGGAAACTGATGAATGGACATCATACCAGCATAAGAGAGTTGGTAATCAAATTGTAAAGTGCCAAAGTCAGTTTTCCTATATTTCATTAACGTTCGGTAAGAATGATTTTTTTATGTTTATTTAATTTACTACATTCTGTGCCACCAGATGGCAACATTTAAAATAAAAAAATCACAAGGGATGGTTTAAAATTATGCAATTTTAAATTCAATATATATAGTAATGTAACCCTGGTTTCTTGATGAGTGGGTAGCGTGTGCCAGTCTCCCTCTCGGGCTGTGGGTAGTAAGCGGGCTACAGTTTCTCTAACGATTACGTTTAATAATCACCAACACGGCAGCACAACACCTTCCAACTTCTTTCCCCAGCCGCTCTTCACCGTTCCCCTCTAAACCCGTCCCCCTGTGTACCAGGGCAGATAGGAACTAATAAAAAGGATAACCAAGGGAACATACTGAACCTAAATATAACACATGTAAATATAACCGAAATAATAAAGTGCTGTAACTGATTATAAATAAAATAAAATAATATTAAATCTGATCATTCAACATAACATTGTAATGTAAAATATATATACATTAACCTCAATAAAATTACTGCAAAGCATAATAATAATAATAATAATAATATAACATAAATCAGTGACATACACTTAATTAAAATAATCCAAAAAAATAATGTGCACAGTAAATACGGTTACAGTAATAATGAATAATACATACTACTTCCACATGTTTGAGTTGTCAGTCGATTTGGTTTTAAAAAGTACTGACAATGTTGGTCTTAGTGAAACTTTTCATCAACTGGCCTTTACAATCAATGAAACCATTCTGTAATGTCGACAATACGTCATTACAGTTGGATCTTTGGAGGCGTCACCAACTGAACGCTGATCACCGCGACAGCCACTGAAAAACCGCAAAACAGAAATGAACGGTAAAGAGCTTGCAGTAGCAACTTCAGTGAGAGGCGAGAATGGACCATTCGGGCAGATGTAAGAAGTTTTTACTGCTTGTAAAGACGATGAAACCCGGTTTAGTCCTAAAAAGGTGACTGAATCTGCTCACAGACAAACGGAATTTGGAAGTGCGCGAAAAATGTTACTTTTTTAACGTAACTTTTTTAATGTAAATTTTTTAAAAATCTAGCCACAAATATGTAACGCCTTTTGAGCATATATCAGATATTACCCTGCAGCCGCTAGGCAGACCAGCGGGAAAGGCGCCTGGACGCAGGTACGAGGTGCGCTTGCGCGAGTCACTGAACCCAACGACCAATCTCTGGTCACCAGTGTTTGTCCCGCCCACGCACTGCTTCGGCTTTACGTTTGAATGCTTTTTTCTGTATTTACCGACAGTAAAACGACGGCCATCTGCTGTTTTCCATCACGTGTGTTTTCTAAACCACTGCCTCGTCTTACCTAGGTTCCCTGCACTCTTGATAAATATAAATTTATTTGCTGTACTTAGCCTACATACAGCACTATTTTTTCAACACTGCTTGTCTCACTAGCTCGACACATTCCAAAGTTTAGTCATAAAAGGACGGGTTATATTGCAAGTCAAACCATAGATTTTGGATATCTTGAAAATAATATAAACATTATTGTCTTATTCATATAACACGTTCTAATATGCAATAATTACACCGACGTAATGATGAAACAAATTAGTATTATCCGTGATTTAGCAACTTGTTTTTTAGGGTGAGTCAGCTACTTCTCTTTGGAAGAAGTTGGCAACACTACGTGTGACTGCTAGACTGGACAGACTGAAGAGATTCCTTTCCGTACACACCCTATTCAGAGTCCTGTAAAATGTTCAGACGACCTAAAATTGTTTAGAACCGGTCAAATCACAAGATCTATGGGCGTCACACTCTTTAACCTCGGGTATTGTATATTGTTACACTGCTTTCTGTTTAAGACTAAAAACTAGTTTAATGCTTTACGCTGCTCTTGAAACGGGAGAAGTCCTTTTCCATTACGTGCATAAAGCTCGCTGCAGGCAAAGTCACAGCGCACGAGCTGCTGCTTTATAGAGGATCTGTTTCAGGATCAAAAAGGCCTTCAGTAATCAGAGGGATAATCAGGGATGCCGGGTTGTTGTCTTGCTTTCTAACTTTGGGTTTGGTTCTATTTAATTCGCTTTCACCACAAACAAACAATTCCTGAACAATCCCTGCATGTAAATAATTAACCACCAATCCTTCATATATTTATTGTTGGGAAAGAAGGGGGTATTGACGCTGACCCAGCTCTGGGTTATTCAGTTTTCTTTAAGTATCTAGTGACTCGCATGATTATGACAAGCAAAGGACAAACTCCGCAAGATCCAATGAATAAATACCGACAGAAATCAATATACAAACACACAAAGATAACTTCGAAAGTCTCCCCAGAGAGAGAGAGAGAGAGAGAGAGATATAAGGAATAATAAGCCAATCTTCCAGAACTACCAACGAAGTAGCAATACCATCATTTAAATGCTGAAAATAAATCGATTTAAAACTGCTTAGGAAGTTAGGAGTTGCACCTAAAGAATTTGCAGCTTACTGACGTCATCGCGTCCAGAGTGAAAGCTTGAGATCCCGGAGTCACTTTTCGTAGCACTAACGCTCCACAACAACTTGGTTTTACGCAGTTAAAATGCATTAAATATGACTCTCATTTGGCTCCCACCACATAAAAACTAGTAAATCAGTAATGACGGGGTTGCAGTCTTCATATGCGAGTTCTCTAAATAAACCCAGACGATAAATAAGTTTGACTAATGACACAATTGAATACCTTAGATTAGCTAAAGCATATGTGCATATATGTATAATATCATTGCAGACTTATGTTAAAACTGTAAGACTGAATTTTTACTCAGTTGCACTTCTATTTTCATGTGCAGCACACAGAAACACCTCGATCTACAGCCGCTACTGAAAGGAGCGCTTTTTCGTAACCAGCTGCGTATGATTTGATTAGGAGCGGCTCCAGCGCCCCTCCTCTTCCGTGAGCCCAGCACTTGGTATATAACGTGACAGCTGTCAAAACCTGGTGCGACTTCACTCACGGAAACCACATTGAAGGCACCCCGTGAGGAGTTAGATTCTTACATTATTTTTTTTTGTCCAGCGATACTGACCAATACAGACTAAAATGGTGAGTTATATTTTCTACGATAAAAACATTATTTATAGTCACGTTACACATCGGCGTATAACATTATTTCCACAGATGACTAAGGTTTTATGTGCGCATTTTCTGAGGTTCGGAACGATCCTTTCAGAATAATCAGAATATCTCACTTTGCAACTGATATAGTCTACACCCGATACAGTCTACACATTATTTTGATTATTTGTTATTTCTGTTAAAACATTGAATTTAAAGATAAAACGTACACACGAAACAGTGCAGTGCATTGTTTGATCTATTTTGGTCCTGTCGGTTTTATTTAATTCTCCTTGGCTGTGATTCGGTGCAATGCAGCATTACTTGATTGTTATCCTTATAAGTTGTACCCCATATTCTAGCGCACCGTTTGGACGTACCAAGTTGTTTTTTTTTTCTCCTCATATTTACAGCTTTCCTGACCCAGAATAGCGGGTCTGTGCGTTGTTTGAAAATGC